TCTCTCCCTTTCTCCTTCTCCAGTATAATCCTCTCACCTCTTAATTTTATTTTCCAGATTTCACCCCTTCATCTTCAAGTCACCCTGTGCCATCTATCTCCCTACCTACCTACATATATATACATATATATATATATACACATATATATTTATAGACACACACACACACACACAGATGTAATTTTCTCCCTCCCACTACTGTAATACTGACAAAGGACTCATGAGTTACAAATGTCATCTTTCCATGCAGGAATATAAACAGTTCAACCTTAATAAGTCTCTTATGATTTCTCTTTCCTGTTTACCTCTTCATGTTTCACTTGAGTCTTGTATTTGAAAGTCTAATTTTCTATTGACCTCTGGTCTTTTCATCAAGAACGCTTGAAAATCCCCTATTTCACTGAATGACCATTTTTTCCCCTGAAGGCTTAGACTCAGTTTTGCTGGGTAGGTGATTCCTGGTTGTAGTCCTATCTCCTTTGCCCTCCAGAATGTCATACTCCATGCCCTCCAGTCTCTTAATGTAGAACCTGCTAAATCTTGCGCTATCCTGATTGTGTTTCCACAATACTTGAATTGTTTGTTTCTGGATGTTTGCAATATTTTCTACTTGACCTAGGACCTCTGGAATTTGGCTACAATATTCCTAGGAGTTTTGCTTTGGGGATCTCTTTCAGGAGGTGATCGGTGGATTCTTTCAATTTCTATTTTGCCCTCTGGTTCTAACATACCAGGGCAGTTTTCCTTGATAATTTCTTGAAAGATGATATCTAGGCTCTTTTTTTAATCATAGCTTTCAGATAGTCCAATAATTTTTAAATGATCTTTCCTAGATCTATTTTCCAGGCCAGTTGCTTTTCCAATGAGATATTTCACATTCCCTTATATTCTTTATTCTTTTAGATTTATTTTACAGTATCTTGATTTCTCATAAAGTCACTGGCTTCCAATTGCTCCATTCTAATTTTTAAGGAAGTATTCTCTTCAGTAAACTTTTGGACTTCCTTTTCCATTTGGCCAATTTCACTTTTTAGGGTATTCTTCTCCTCATTGGCTTTTTGGACCTCTTTTGCCATTTTGGTTAGGC